AGCGGCTCTGCACCCGCACCTGTGTTGCCTCAGGGGCCCTCCATTTATAAAGTGGGACCAGCGAGCCACCTCGGGGAGCTTTCACCGGGTAGAAACCAACGGATCTGTTTCCTGCAGCTCTGCCAGGCTGGTCAGGTGGAGTGAACGAGGAGGAGCGCCCAGCATTTCCAAGCCCAAGCCCAAGCCCAAGCCCTGGGTTCAACCCCAGGGGAGGAACTGGGGCAGAGGGGCTGGCTTCTGCAAGCTCCACCAGCGCCTGCTCGGGCGCCCACCCTGCGAGCCAGGTGGTTTCCCAGTTCCTTCTCTGCGCTCCCCTGGGTCTGGGGAGGGACGTGTGCCACCCAAGGCACCTTCTCGTCACTGAGCTAGGGCTGAGGAAGTCCTAAAGCTGAAATAAAAAACGAATCCACGCTTTTGTAGAATAAATTTGCAGGTTTGTTGAATCCCGTGGCGGGAAAAGAATTTTTAGGACCGGAAGGTTTTGTTTTTGAAATAGTCTTGTTTTGTAGTTCAGCCTGGCCTTCATGCAGTCCTCATGCCTCAGCCTCCTGGGTGCAGGGATTATAGATGTCCGTTACCCTGCCCAGTTTACATTTAGCCTAGCTTTTGGTTTGATATTATTCTTGCTCTCTCTCCTCCCTCTTTCCCCTTCCACCTCTCCAACTGTGGTTATACTGTACCTTATGGCTGAGTGTTTAAGACTAACCTAGCAGCTGGGCATGGTGGTCTATGCCTGTAATCCCAGCACTCAGGGAAGCTGAGGCAGGAGGATTTTATTTATTTATTTATTTATTTTGGTCTTTTTGAGACAGGGTCTCACTATGCAGTTCAGGCTGGCCTTGAACTCACTTTGTAACCCAGGCTGGCCACGAACTCACAATGATTCTCCTGCCTCAGCCTCCCGAGTGCTGGGATTACAGATGTACGCCACCATGCCCAGGGAGGCAGGTGGATTGCTGAGAGTTCGAGGCCGGCCTGAACTGCACAGCCAAGACTGTGTCTCAAAAAGACAAAAAAAAAAAAAAAAAAAAAAAAAAGACCAAGTGAAAGGTAGACCTGTGCTAATCAAAATTAATTTTTATATATTTGTCAAGGTCAGCTAAAGCGCCAAGCGCCTCAAGGGTTACTTCTGGGGCCATGGCAAGGAGGCTGTTGGCTACTTTTTTTGTTTGTTTGTTTGTTTGTTTTTTTGTTTTTTTGAGACAAGATCTCACTATGCTGTTCAGGCTGGCTTTAAACTCATTTTATAGGGCTGGGGATATAGCTCAGCGGCACAATGCCTGCCTGGCAAGCGTGAGGTCTTGAGTTTGATTTCTGGTTAAAAAAAAAACAACTCATTTTATAGTCCAGGCTGGTCTTGAACTCACAGGGATCTTCCTGCCTCAGCCTCCGGAGTGTTGGGATTACAGGCATACGCCACCATGTCCTACCTTCAGGGAGAAAATTTGAAGTCAAGTGCCAACATAACTATTTTTTTTTTCTTCCAGCTTTTTCTTTTCTTTTTTGGTACTAGGAATTGAACTCAAGACCTTGCACTTGCCAGGCAGGTGCTTGTGCCACTGAGCTGTATCTCCCACATTTTTTTTTTGTACCAAGAATCAAACTCAGGACCTTGTGCTTGCCAGATAGGCACTTATGCCACCGAACTATATCCCCAGCCCATTTTTTTTCTTGTTGAGACAGGTCTCACTATGTAGTCTAGGCTGGCTTGAACTCACTATGTAGCCCAGGCTAGGCTTAAACTCCCAGCAATCCTCCTGCCTCCCGAGTGCTGCAATTACAGGTGGGCAAAGCCAGGTATGGTGGCACACACCTGTAATCCCAGCACTCAGAAGGCTGAGGCACGAGGATAGCCATGCATTTGAGGCCAGCCTGGGCTATGAAGTGAATTCAAGGCCAGCCTGAACTGCACAGCAAGACCCTGTCTCAAAAAGACCAAAAAAAAATTTTCTTTTTGAGACAGAGTGTTACTGTGTAGCCCAGGCTGTCCTTGAGCTCACTGTGAGCCTTCTGTCTCAGTCTTCCAAGTGCCACTACGCCTACCTCATGTTTATTTGAAGTGTTTAGGACCCCAAAATGTGCATGATTTAGGGAGATTACTTCCCTATGGCATCACCCCGAAACCTGGTCCTCTTCCACAGTGTCAGGACTGGCTCTCCCATCTGGCTGCAGGAGAAACTGTTTGACACTGGATGAACCAATCTTGTAGGTCTTCCTGGGGAGCACCTTTTAGCTCCACCTGACTCAGAAGAGTGTGTGTTGGTCTGAGGGAGCACTGAGCGAGTCTGCGATAAGTCATACAGGCCACCTCTCAACACCGCTTCCCATGTCTGTGAAGGAGAGATGCCTCTCGTCTTCGGTGCTTGCATGTGCAAGCACACATTTTCTAGGGATTTGGGGAGGGAGAAAAAAACCAACTGTGGATGCAGAAGTTTGTAGACAGGGAGAAAAAAGGAGAAAAAGTCCAAAAACCTCCAGAGGGCAAGGGCTTGGGAGAAACTGCTTCAGAAGGCAAATCTTTAGCTGGGTGTGGTGGCACACACTTGCCCACCCAGCACTCAGGAGGCTGAGGCAGGAGGATAGCCATGCATTTGAGGCCAGTCTGGGCTGGAGTACATAGTGAGTTCAAGGCAGCCTGAATGAGATGGAGCTGAAGGTGGTCAGTGGTTGAGGGAAGTGGAGAAGGAATAAAATGAAAAGCCTTTGGCTGGACTTAGGAAAGTCACAGTTCCAAAGCCTGTTTTTACCTCCTGGCTGGCTGCCAAGAGGAAATGTCACTGGGCTGGGTCTGAGGAGATCCCTGAGGCTGAAATAAGGAAACTAACCCACCCTTCTGCAGACTAAGTTTGCTGACTCCGGTCATGGAGAAAGAATTTTAAGGATGCATTAGCAAGAGACAGGAGAAGGGTTTGTTAGGCAGAGATTTTAGGACATCCAAGAGAAAAGAGACACACTACAGCATGCACCTGGGAATACTTGTTTTTCAGCGTGGAAATCTGTGGGATTTGATAGGTCTTGTGTGTGTGTGAGGCCCACTTATAGTAAGTGAATCTTTGTGTTTTTGGCGGTGGCTATAGGTGGAAGGCAGTCTGTGGAGGAAATCTGTGGTCTTGGTTTGGTGGACGGAAGGACGGTCCACCTGCAGTAAGACAATGGTTCACTCCTAGGGGAAAGCCTGATTTACAGGTTAAAATTAGGCAGTTGGTCTATTTACAGGTGAAACAGGACTATTTTCAAGTAAAAAGGGGATGACCAAGCCCATTTACAGGTCAAAGGGAATTGCCTACAGTTATAGTGTTTGGGGAGAAAGGAAAAAAAATTAGTTTATGGCTTAAAGGTACAGGTTTTCCTTTTGTTTTGGGGGGAGGCACAAGGTTTTTGTTTGTATGTATGTATGTATGTGTGTGTGTATGTATTTAGAGATAGGGTCTCAAAGGCCTGCCCGAACTTACTTTGTAGCCCAGGCTGGCCTCAAACTCACAACAATCCTCCTGCGTGCTTTATTTTTAATTTCTACAACTTTTTTTTAGACAGTTTAAGAGAACCAAGGACATACCTCCTAATGATAAAAGCTCCTTTTTTTTTGGCACCAGGAATTGAACTCATGACCTCAGGCTTGCCAGGCAAGTGCTCATGCCACTGAGCTACATCCCCGGCCCCTTATGTTCTCTGATCGGCTCCTTTTTTTTTTTTTTCCTAACGATAAAGGAAAGAAAACAAGCTTTCCTTTTGAGAAACCAGACACAAAGTAAAGACTTTCTTTGAAAATAACCACAAGATTAGGCACTCTGACAGGGTTAGGCAGGATTCTTGGTGTGAGGTGAAGCACAAGCTGGTTTCCAGTTTTAAAGTTATGATTTTCCTTGTCTTTTTTCCACCTGTTTTTTTTGTTTTTTTTTTTCTGGTACGGGGAATTGAACTCATGACCTCACGCTTGCCAGGCAGGCTCTGTGTTGCTAGGCTAAAGCCCCAGCCCCTTTCCACCTGTTTTTAATATTTACTTATTTACATTTTTTTGAATTGGTGGCCTTTCTTTTAACCTTTTCTTTTTGAGACACGGTCTTGCTATGTAGTTCAGGCTAAGTTTGAACTCACTATGGACCCCAAACTGGGCTTCAACTGAGTGCTCCTCCTGCCTCAGCCTCCTGAGCACCGTGATTGCAGGTGTGTGCCACTGCACCTGGCTCTGCATATTTTTTCTTCTGCCTCACAGCAGTCTCAGCAAGGGACACTCGGCCAGAATTGTAGCTGAAGGAATGTCCCCAGTTTCCAGGTGTGGGCATTCTCAGCCCAACCCAAAAATGCCATGGTGTTGTAGGCAGCTGAGTTAGAAATATTACAGGCAGTCTGACAAGGCTGGGCCCTCAAAGTAGACTGTGGAAGACAAGATACCTTTCAACTGTGGGAGAGATGGGCTCTTGCACCGTGGGCCAGACCTTGAGACAAAAGATGAAACAAATGCAGCCACACACCTCCCCAGGGATGGACATCAGGGACTGATATTCTAAATAGGTACCCATCACCTTGAAACAGCCAGGTAGTCACTAACCCAACCCCCTACAGGAAGAGCCCCTGCTCAGTATTCCTGCCCTTGCTGCCTGACTCACTTCTTCATTTGATCCCGATTTAATCAATTTCACCTGAGCAACTGTACTCGTAATCTTACTGGCTGACCACTGTTTTGTCCCACCTCATGCCCACCTTGTGAATTCCCATGTTTCCTACCCTGGACCCATCTCACCTCGTGGTTTTGCACTATAAAAGTCCCTAGAAAAGACAGGTTCCTTGGCAATCCACTTGGGCCCATTTCTGTCTCTTTCTCTCAGACAGCAGCTTTCTTTCTCCTAGTAAATATATTCTGCTCTTAACCTCCATTGTTCCTAAAATTCTTTCTTTGATTTTAGAGAACACAAACTTGTCCCAGGTATCTTTCAGGTTGGGTGTTTCTTTTCCCTATATCATTGGGACAGTCACAGGTACGTGATGACAGGAGGCGAGCCTTGCTTGTTCGGTGGTAGTTTATTGGTCCTTAGCGTTACATCTTAATTACCAAGGTGAAATCACATACACAACTGCAGGTAAAAACATGTAAAATAATATAAAAATAAATTGAAGGCTACTTTATATCTTTACTGAATTAAGTAGTGTAATAAATACTATAAGCAAAAAGCTTCAATCACACAATTCAGTTTCACTGAAGTTACAGTAGTGTTTGTAAATGTTTTAAAATTTAAGTTACAAATATTAAAGCACTAGTATAAAATGAATTTTGGCACGTAAGTGAGCTCTTCTGCCATTAGTATTTGACCACTTGGGACAAAGAGGAAGCCATTTCTCACCTACTTTTTGAGGTACAACTATTCGACTAGTCAGCATCGCAGCTGGAATACTTCATAGTTTACAATCTTTGAGTTGAACTTTTCCCTTTTGAGAAGCCCAAAGAGCAACCCAGAGCTTATTACTGTGCAAAAATTCTCCAAAATCCTAACAGAATTTAGGAGGGAACTTTGTACCCCAACCTGAAGGGCCAGCATCCCTGCCTCCGGTGGGAGCACCCCAGGGCTTGGTGGGGCCAACCACATTCCTCGCTAATGGCCCCTTCCTAGGGCGATATAATTTTCTCCAATTTCTGCCTCCTCTTTCCAATCAGAAAAAGAATCTCCCACAACACAAAATAACCCATAACTTCAGTGACTGTTCAGTCACCATTATCACACACACACTCCGGTGATGTACAACTGAAGCTGTTAACAGGAAAGGTGGCAAAAGCATGTAAGCCCCTGGAGGACTTTGCCTTTTCCTGGAACTGCTCCCATGTCTTTGCTGGGTCCCTGGTATCCACTTCTAAGGTCAGAAGCTAAAACACAGTGTCATGGCCTTTCCTCTGAAGAAAGCCCCAGACCTTGCTCCTGGGCCGAGAGGAAGCGAGTGGCTATCAACTGAACTCCAGGCTCCGACCCGAAAAGCCGCAGGTTCCAGGAGAAAGGTGGGAGGCCGCACATTCCCAGCCCTAGTCCTCAAACAGCGTGGTGCACTGCGGCTGTGCCCTTCCCCGGGGGCACATGTGCCTGGATGCCCTCTCGCCAGTGTGCCCCTCACACTCCCGAGCAGCCCAGGGAGCATCTAGAGGCCTCAGCCAGTTTTGCCTTTTTGGCTTTGATACTTGTTTTACCTTTTTTTCAATCACAGTTTCATATTCAAGTTGAGGTAATCAAAATTCTCCCTCTCTGAGGAGGGCAGTGGGGACAGTGGGGCAGGTTGGTGAGAGAGCATTACTACAGACAACAGTTGCTCGGGACCCAAGGTCGCCGTGCAGCAAAGCCCCATGTGGAAGGCAGGCCTGCTCTTGTGCACGGCCCGACCCCTCTTTAAAAACTCCTTTGTGTAGCAGCCAGACTGCCAGGCCAGGGCAGTTAGGAAATGGCTCAAGCTCCTGTTTCTAGAGCTTCCACTGAAAACGTCATAGCAACCCCTGGAAGAAATGAAATGGCCTGTGGTCCCCCCACCCCCACCCCGCCCCTTTCCCTTTTCTAAGGCTGCTCAAGTTTGAGTTTTTAAAAAGAGCTCGGTAGAGCTAAAAGAAGCTACAATAACTCATTGCTTATTAATCAATTGCACTTAAGATCTATGTTATTGATTCTGAAGCAGAGGCTGCCCATTTGTGGGCCGTGGGCCGTGGGCCCTGGCCCCTGGCCAGCCAGAAGTCAGGGGCTACTCGGGCTCCAGAGCAGAAACCCTGCCAGCAGAGCAGGGACTGAGGCACGTGGCCTGAATTTCAGGAGCCTTTCTTCATGCAAAATTTCTCTTTCAATGGTATTTGCAGTTTTGTTCATTTTGCTTCAGTGCAGAATTGTTTTTTTCTAATACAAGTATATTTTACGAGCAAGTCCTTGCTAATTGCTTGCTACCTGCACTCAGGCCTCTGTGCTCCATCCTGGCAATCCTCTGCATCAGGGGCTTTTCTCAAAACCCCTCTACATTACAGGAAACTATGCTGGTTTCACCTATGTGCTTCTTCCTAAGGCATGCAAAAATATGTGAAATTCAGAAAACATTTACAATCCAGGCAGCTGAGGTGCTGGAAACCTAATGGATATCACCTACTTATCAGTGCCTACGACTCTCTGTCCCACACACTAATTATGAAGATGCGGCGGCAACACAATTTCAGTTCCCTCTGCTTTGTGGTCTAGTGAAAACATCATCACTCGAAGGAATCCTAACTTGAGTATTGGAGTTGTTTGAAAATCCTGGTTCTTAGGAGCCAAACAAATCCAGGGCCAGGAAGAATGCCTCGGGGCCATGAATTTCCTGAAGTCTGTGGCTAAGAAGCAGGCCTTCCCTGGCAAGGTGGGGTGCTGGAGACAGTGCCTGGGGCTTGGGCAACAGGACTGCTCTCCTCCCTGAATGAGGGACACCAAGCAATGCTGCGGGGCTCCAGAACCAGTCACATGTTGGCTGCGATGTCAGCGTGAGGGCCACCACACATCTGAAAAGCCTCATGCCTTGCCCTCAGCTGAGTGCCATGAGGGAATCCCCTGGAGAGCTTGCTGGGCTCTCAGCCCAAGCTGCTGGCTCTGTGGGTTGGGCTGGGGCAGGGCTTTTGTCACTCCCCCTAGAAGAGGCCCAGGGCCAGCAGGGCCAGCAGGTCCAGGTCCTTCAATGGAAAGGCCTAAGCAGGGGCAGCAGACACTACTGGGGATGAGGGCTTTCCTGGGGCAGCATCTGAGGCCTGGGTGGGTGGGTGCACCCCAGGCTCAGCTGCAGATTAGGCAGCCCAGGTTCCTTGTAAATCCTCAGTGCAATCCCAGTGCTTCTCCCCAGCCCACCCTGTGCCTCAGCAACCCAAAGGAAATACTGTTAGCAGAAGTCCAGGGGCCTGGACTGCGAGCACACAGCGCACCCTGCCCCCCATGCAGGGGGGCAGGCAATGTACTTTGGTGCTGCAGAGAACAAGGACAACATGCACTCAAGCCAGCACATGGGGCAAGGAAGGCACAGCCCCTCCAGGGGGGCCCTCTGGGAGAGCGGGAGTTAGACATTGAGACAAGTCTGTCCATCTCTGGTGGGCGCTCGGGCCCAGCTTTCCCTAGGGCTTCTGCTCGAAGAGGTCATGGTACTCTTGCTGGTCCAGCTCTCGGTTGTACCTCTCAATTTCCCGGTTGGCTTCTTCCACGTAGTCATTCATGAACTGGTCCATGACTGGCCTGTGGTTAAGGAAGAGTGCAGAGCCTGGAGGGCAAGAGATCTGCAGGCAGGTGGTGCAGGGGGCACTGAGGTATCTGCTAGCAGCTACAAAGACTGTGACAGGTACTGGCTCAGTACCTTACGAGGGCCTAGAATGGAGCCCCGGGCTTCACTAGCACACAGTGGCTCCCTGTCACCCAGGTTTGCTAACAGCTAACACCCAATAGGGACCAAGCTGCTTCAAAGGATATGAGGATGAAAATCAGTTTTATCGCCAAAGAAGTTTACAAACTGGGTGCCATTATAGAAGTAGCCTGCAGGCAGGGGGTCCAGGTGGCGTTTCACCTGTGGAAAGAAGAATTCAGGTAGAATTATCTGGTAACTGTACTTTCTACCATTCATTCACTCATTAAAAACAGACACGCTGGGTGTGGTGGTGCACGCCTGTAATCCCAGTACGAGAGGCTGAGGCAGGAAGATTGCTGAGTTTTATGCCAGCCTGAGTTCCACAGCGAGACCTTGTCTCAAAACAAAACTCTATGACCATATAAACAATCCTTACCTTAACAAGACAGCCTACTCTGGCATATGCAGGAACAAACACCCGTGCAGCTGCCCCTCAGAAGAGGAACCCTGGGGGTTCCTCATGGGATGAAGCTTTCATGGCTCCCAGGGTGCTGGTCTGGTAATTACCCTTTGTTGGCTGTGTCCCCTGTCTCTCACTGTCCCACATCCCCAATGTCTCCTGTACTAACTTCCAGCATTTGCTGCCTGCACTCCACTCTTTGCTCAAGAGTTGCTTCTGGGGAGTGAGTCCCAGGCTCCTCCTCCCTGCAGTGTCTGGGCTATGCAGGCCATCACTGTGCCAGTGGAACAGTGCATCCTGTGGCCAGCACTGCGTCTCCTTTGATGCCACGCCTCTCAGGAAAGGCTCTATTGGACATGGACCCTGGGACAGAGGCTAGGGGTCAGCCTGGAGTTTTGGGGGGACTCATCAAGTGCCTTAGCATTCCAGAACATTCCCATGAACATTCTGTAGGTAGACAGCTTTCTCCCCAGGGCTGTAGATGGTTTCTCCACTTTTTCTTTCTCTCTCTTTTTTGGTACTGGGGATTGAATCCAGGGTCACCATCCCCAACCCCTTTTAAATTTTTATTTTGAGACAGGGTCTTACTAAGTCATTAAGTTGCACAAACAGAAGCTTCTCCTTTGAGGCCCTCCTGGGTTACATAGTGAGTTCAAGGGCAGCTTGAACTACATAACGAGACCTGTCTCAAAAAAACACAGAACAAAAATATGGCCCAACCTGGGTTCAAACTTCCAATCTTCCTTTTTCAGCTTCCCAGAGCTCTGGGATTACAGGCCTGTGTCACCATAGCCTGAACTCTGGTTTATCCCAGACAGAGGTCTTCGGGGGTTGCTCAAATAGGTGACAGGTCTCCTCTTGCCTACTCCTTCTGCAGGTCGACTCTCCTCATTCTCATGTCCATGCCACCCCAGCAGTTTCCCACCCATCTCAATGAGGCAAGGAGCAAGCTATGTAGGTCTAGGAAGCAGTCTTAGCACCCAGAGGGAGGCCAGGGCAGAGCACTCACGTGGATGTTCCTGATCTCCTGCTGGGTCAACATTCCTCTGGTCTTCAGAGCTTTCCTCTGAGGCTTCTGTGCAGAGATGGAGGAGAGGACAGGTTGCTACAGAGCTGAGGGAGACGTGGGCAGGGCTTGGGGTCAGGGATGTGGAGGGGAAGGCACAGCAGTTGGCCATGGCATGGACACAGCACCCGGCCTGCCGGGCCTGCCCTAAGACCACTTTCCCACCACCAGGCCCGCAAGGCAGTGGGGAACACATGGCCTAGCACTTGGAGCCTCTTAAATCTGCATGGTGCTGCCTCTGTAGACTCTCACCCCTAGCCCCACCAGTGACAGACACAGAAGACAACCTGGGGCCCCACAGTCAAGCACTATTCAAGGGTTTATCCAGACCAGGCAGCCCAGGCCTCAGTAGAAAGCCCCAGGCCCAGCCGGGAACCGAACTCACGACCTTGCGCTTGCCAGGCAGGCGCTTTGCCGCTGAGCTAAATCCCCAGCCCCCAGCCAGCTCTATTCTTAAGAGTTCTAGCAATAGCCAAACTCCTGAGGCTGTGCCGAGAGGCTTATTCACTACTTGTAGAGAACCTGGTTCAGAGCAGACAACCTTGGCTGCCTAGAGTTCACCCTGAGGAGCTTCCTTCCACTCTCCAAGGGTCCATGGAGTCCTAGCCCAGCCTATGAGGTGTACTCAGTGGGAGGCTGCAGGTGCTTGCCCCGGTCAGTGTGCTGCTTACACCTGTGCCAGGGCTGTCTGGGCTTTAACAGCTACCTGCTTAGCTGACTGCCGCAGCCAGTCCTTGAGGCTGTCTTCCTTCAGGGAGCAGCCAATGAACACGAGGTAGCATTCCTGCTGCCCACTGCTGTCTTGTGGGGTGCTTCTTGAGACTGCTGGTGGTGTGGGTCCCTCCAAAACTGGTACGATGCTCAGGGAATTGGCTAGCGTGTTGTGGCAGACCTCCATCATCCTTTCAGAGTCTGCAAAGAGAGCATGCACTTTTCCTTGAGGCCCGCCCTGAAAGGTAAGGCTGCCCTGAGACTGTACTGATCAGACGGCTGGGACAGGTACTAATAAATGCAGAAGGGAGCAGTGACCCGACTGGTGGGAAGGATGGAGCAAGAGAGGAAGGCACAAAAGTATTTTCTGGCTTGGCTGCTTTGGATGATTAGAAGACACTATTAACCAGAAGGGAATCCAAGAAGAACACAGGGCTTGCAGGTGAGCCAAGTGTGGTGGTGCACACCTGTAGTCCCAGCACTCTAGGGGCTGAGACAGGAGGATTGCTCTGAGGTCAAGGCAGCCTGGGCTACATGGTGAGAACCTGTCTCAGAAAAGCAAAGACAGGAGAGGTCTACACCGAAATGACACCCACTGGCTGCTTGTGGAGCCTGGCTGTGACACCTAGGGTTGCAGCTCTCCTGCCATGTGGTGCCAAGAATGGTTGACACCTAAGAAAGGAACAACATACAGACATGTGTCACCTGGGCCTTCAGTGGTCTGGCTCTGCCGTCCAACTTCGTGACATTTTTTTCCCTCCAGGACTGGGACCAAGCCCAGAGTCTTGAACATACTAGAGCTGTACCCCTCCCGGACCTTTTTATTCCATTTTGACACAGGGGCTCCCTAAGTTACCCATGCTTGCCTTGAACTTGTATCCTCCTGCCTCAGCCTCAGAGTCAGAGTAGCTGGGAGCATAGGCATGTGCCACCACAGCCAGGTTTGACTTCTTGCTAAGCAGCTAACAACCGTGAGTTGAACTAGGGTTTCTGTGTCACAGCTGAAGGTGCCCTAGCACCTTCCGTCCTTCCATGGCTCCAGCCTTGGGAAATCTTTTTGATTCCTGAAATGTGCCCTTTTTTGCCTCTGGGTTACAGTAAACGTTGTTCCTTTCCCTGGGGTGTTCTCCCTTCCTTGTCACTGAGCTGACCAACTCCCACTAGTCCTGAGGTCTGCCTGACCCCAGCCCACGGAAGAGGATGCAGTGAGCACGTCAGAGGTCTAAGGCTGGTGACAAGGCCTAGGAGGAGGCCATGCTGGTTCAGGGTGGGGTGTGAGTCTCAGGACAGGAAGCAAGGAGCTGTGAGGAGAGGCCTGAGGGGTCGTCCATGGGCAGAGAAGCGGCAGAAAAGCCTGACAGTTTACGCCCAACAGGGCAGCATGAGAGGGGAAGAGGCATCAGTGGTCTGCAGGGCACTCGCAGAGGCTGAGTTCACACTCTGGCCTGAGCACTCTGCGGTACGGGATCCCGAGCCCACTGCCCTTACCTGAAAACTTCACTCTGCCCAGGATGTGGTAGATGTTTCCAGAGAAGGGGCTGGGCTTGATGGAGGACTGAATTGCTGGAAGAGGAAGAAGAAGAGAACAGGGGTGTCACCCACCTGAGGGCAGAGGCTAAATTCTGAGTGGCACAGATGGGAGGGTTAGGGACGGGGGAGGAATGCTACTCCAGGGTCCAGGGTTCGTGCTTCTACTCCCACCCCAGCTCCCAGGCCCTCCGTCCCCAAGGATGGGAAGGCTCTCTCAGTGGGGTGCAGATCAAACTGTGGGGCACATGCAATCAGGAACGGGGACTCCTGGTCCTCCAATCCCTCGGCCCCCTTTTGCTCACAAATGCGAGGTGATGGGAGAGCACACAAAATGCTGGAAGGGTGTCTGAAAGCCCCGATAACCCTGTAGCACTCTCACTGCAGCCAGGACCAGGCCCGCCCGAAGCTCACCTTTACACTTGGCCACAAAGCGGGTCTTCTCCAAGGGTCGGCCAAACCACACGCAGATCTGAACCATTAGTGGAAAGACTGAGCCAGCACTGAATTTACCTTCATACCTTAAAACATTTAAAAAAATGTAGGTACAAGTGCCAGGGGCTTTGACTGTTACTATACATGACTGTGGATGTCACTTGTTCTACGTGTATCTGCTTTGTGCGCCATTCTGCATGTGGAACACTTGAGTAGATGTGCACATGACTTCGCCTGTGAGCGGGATGCTTGTCTGCCCTTCAGAGCAAGGCCTTCTGAGGACAGAAGCCCATTCCTCAAACTGGCAGTTCTTCCAAGTCCAAGACCCCACCTCTGCGTCAAGCCCACCCAGAGCTGGGAGCCCTGTCCCCTGCTCAAAGCCTCTTCCGGCCTGCAGGCTCCCCTCCCCTCGGGCAGGCACAGACCGTGCATTTGGATGCACGTTTTCTCCACAAGGAATCCAAGGGCAGCTTGTCTCTGCTCTACTTTTTCAGGCTCATTAAGAACAGCCATGTTCAGAACATTAAAAAACCTTAGTTTTCTTTTTTTTCTGTTTTTTTTTTTTTTTTTTTTAATTTAAATTTAAATTTTTTTTATCTTTTTGAGACAGGGTCTCTCTATACAATTCAGGCTGGCCTTGAGCTCACTTTGTAGCCTGGGCTGGTCTCGAACTTGCAACCATCCTCCTGCCTCAGCCTCCCAAGTGCTGGGATTACAGGTGTGTGCCACCACACCCAGCTTAACCTTAATTTTCTAATACAGAAAAATTTCAAGCATATGGAAAGACAGAATGTTATAGTACACTATTTTTTTTTTTTTGGAGACAAGGTCTTGCTGTATAGTTGAGGCTGGCCTTAAACTCACTATGTAGGTTAGGCTGACGCTGAACTCATGGTGCTCCTCCTGCCTCAGCCTCTGAGTGCTGGGATTATAGGTGTGCACCACCAACCCCTACGCTTAATGTGGTAGTACACTGAACTTCGTGTCCCCATCACCTGGCTTCCCAGCTGAGGAACTGTCATTTCTTTTTAGTTACTTCCTTGAGATGAATTCTCATGATTAGACTCTGTTAGGCAAAGGTGTAACTGTCATCATGTACCCCAGCAGCAGATAAGTACATCAGTTTCACAATAATTCCTCACGCAAATGATATTATAGGTATACTGGGATATAGTAAGCATCTAAACAACGAGGCGCCTCCCCACTTTCTTTGCTGGGGATTTAGTTTAAGGTCTCTGCATATCTCCAGCCCTTTTTTATTCTTTTATTTTTGAGAGAGGGTCTTACTAAATTGATAAATTGCTGGGGTGGAGTTTGAATTTGTGATCTCTCTGTCTCAGCCTCCCAGACGGCTGGGATTATCACCCTACCTGGCTCAGTTTCTTTTTGGTCAAGGTATTGTTCAGCATAAGAAATGACCCACTTACACAATGTTTAGGCAAGTGAGACGTGATTCAAATCATGTTTCTTTTAAGAATATGTCTGAAAACTTTTGATTTCACATGGTGACATTCTGGGTTAAAAGTGACTGTTATTTTTCACGGCACAGTACAATCGGTTTTTTAATGTTAGTGGTGTTAAGGGTAGCATGGAGGAGGTAGAGAGGACCTGGGAGAAGGGTAAGGATAACAAAGATAATCCAGACAAGCATGAGAAATGCCGGGTATGGTGGTGCAGGTCTATAATCCCCCGTGGGAGGCTGAGGCAGGAAGACTGCTGTGAGTTTGAGGTCAGCTGGGACTACATAGTGAGTTCTAAGGCAGCCTGAACAGCATAGTAAAACCCTGTCTCAAAAAGACAAAAAAAAAAAAAAGAATCTAGGTAAGCATGAGAGATGAGCTCTGGCTAAAACCCCCTCACCCACTGCCGAACTTTAACAAGTGTCTTCCCCTACACTTGCAACACAGTAAAAGTGAACAGCCCAGCTATACAGGGACAAGTGCTGCATAGGAGTTAAATGAACAGAGATTAAGGGCCAGAAAACCTGGGCCTGCAATCCAATTTTCTCCTTTAGAGCTGCAACTTGGACGTGACATTTAACTCCTTGCTGGCACCTTATTTATAAAACATGGAAAATAAGGAATTTACTTCACAGGCTTGGTGTAAGGGTCAAAGAAGACAAAGTCCAAGCTCTCAGCACTGCCCAACAGAACTTCCTGTGAAGATAGAATGCTCTGGATCTGCAGTCCAATATGGTAGCTGCTAACCACAGGGAGCTATGGCACACTGGAAATGTGGCCGTGTGATACAGACACTGAATTCTAAATATCATTTAATTGTCACTTCTGTTACATCATATTAAGTGGCCATGTGGCTAAGGGTGAGCACACTGGAGGACACAGCTTAGAACAATGCCCAGTGTGCACACAGTGGACTCCACACCTTCTCCGCGCCCCCATGCAGAGGTTCTCGGGCTGTGAGGTGGCCTACAGAGACTGTTTTGGGCCCCTCAGCAGGCAACACACTAGCCCAGGAACCCTGGAGGATGGCCTGGCTGAGTTCTTGGGAGCAATTCTCACAGGGAAGGCAGCGACCCCCTTGTTCCAGGTCATTAGCATACCCTCGCTAGAGGCAGTACTGAGCACAGGCTTGTACTGTGCTTGGTTCCCACAGGTTGACTTCCTGAAGCTCAACATCCAACAAGGCTCCCAATTTGGAGGCCAAGACAGGAACACTGGGCCCCTCTCTCCACAGGACAAGGCAGGGAGCCACATCCTGTCTGCGAACATGCCACCCTTGAACAGCACCTTTGCAAAGCATGTATTTTTTTGGGGGCGGGGGAAGTCGTCTTTTTGAGACAGGGTCTCCATATGCAGTTCAGGCTGGCCTTGAACTCACTTTGTAGTCCAGGCTGGTCTTGAACTTGCAATGATCCTGCTGCCTTAGCCTCCTGAGTCCTGGCATTTGGTTGTGTGCTATCACGCTTGGCAAAATACATATTTTAATTTTCTTGCCTTTTTTTCCCCTGCAAGTAAATAAATAATAGGGCTCACAAAATTTTTTTTAGCTACTTTTCAGTGATAATACTTGCCAGCCAGGGTCAGGGATATAGCTCAGTGGCACAAGCACCTGCCTGGCAAGTGCAAGGTCCTGAGTTTGATTCCTGGTACCAAACAATAAAAAGATTTAATACTTGCCAGCCAGGGTACATTAAATATCGAGATCGTAGCATCTGAGGACTTGAAAAGCTATTTTCTGAGAGAATCAGTTCAACGTCTTCATTCCTTTGAAAACATACAAAAAAGACTCAAATTAATTAGGACTGTTACTCTTTTCTTTTTCCGGTACCGGGAATCAAACTCATGACCTTGCACTTGCCAGGCAGGTGCTGCGCTGTTGAGCTAAATCCCAAGCCCCAGGACTGTCACCCTTTTCTTTTTTTCAGTTTTTTTTTTTTTTGAGACAGGTCTCACCATGTAGTTTAGGCTGGCTTTGAACTCACTATGTAGCCCGGGCTGGCCTTGAACTTGTGGCAATCCTCTTGCCTCAGCTTCCCAAGTGCTGGGATGATAGGTATGCGTTACCATACCCAGCCCATCCTGTTGACTTGTTTTCCTTGCAGTAGTGGGGACTGAACCCAGGCTTTCACATGTGACAGACAAGCGCTCTAACCCTGGGCTGTACATCCAGCCCTTTAAGTTTTTAATTTAGCAAGGTATGGTGACACAGGCCTGCAATTCTAGCACTTGGGAGGCTGAGGTAGGAGGATCAAGGAGTTCTAGTCCAACCTGGACTACATAGTAAGTTCAAGGCCAGTCTGAATACATTTGAGACCCTATCTCAAAAAAAATTTTTTTTTTTTTTTTGAGACAGGGTCTCACTATATAGTTCAGGCTGGCCTTGAGCTCACTTTGTGGTCCAGGCTGGTCTTGAACTCACAACGATCCTCCTGCCTCAGCCTCCCAAGTTCTGGGATTACAGGTGTGCGCCACCATGCCCAGTTCTGCCCCCCAAATTTTTTAATAAAATATTTACATGGTTAAAAGTCAAAACTATGTAAAGTGCCATGTACTGTCTCATATCCTGTTTTTTTTCTTTCTTTCTTTCTTTTTTTTTAATCCTGAGTGCTGGGATTATAGCCATATACCACCATCCCTGGCCATTTCTCACATCATTTCCTTTTTGTATCAGAAATTGAACTCAGGACCTCAGGCTTACCAGGCAAGTGCTGCACTACTAAGCTAAATCCCCAGCCCAACATCATTTTGTTTTGTTTGAGACAGGGTCTCACTAGGAAGTTCAGGCTGTCCTTGATTTTACTATGTAGTCCAGGCTGGCCTCCAACTCACAACTCCTCCTGCCTTGGCCTCCTGAGTGCTGGAATTACAAGCATGTATCATTATGCCTCGCCATTTCTCTTTTTTTTTTTTTTTTGAGATAAGGTCTCACTGTGTAGTTGAGGCTGAACTCATTATACAGCCCAGGCTGGCCCCAAACTCAGAGCGATCCTCCTGCCTCAATCTCCTGAGTGCGGGGATTACAGGCATGCGCCTCCACGCCCAGCCCATTTCTCCCATTTTAACACAAGGAACACAGATAATCTTGACTTTCATTGTTCAGTGTATGAAGATGTGAATGCGTCAAAATGAAATGCCCCAAAATAATACAGAATACTGACACATAGGGTCTTCTTGATGATTTCTACAAAGCATCTAAAGCCCTTCCTAACCTGACTTCCATTAATGCTCAGATTTTACATACAGCAGAGACCCCATGGGCCCTGAGCAGAGCGCTATATCTAGAACGAGGCCCGTCATGCAGAGTGGAGTCTGGAGAAGTATACCTGGTGACAATCCCGTTTTCTGCAAGAATGAAGGCTGCAGAGGGGTTGGCAGCCCTGATGAGGCCCTGCACCTGAACAAAGAGAGGGTGCCTCTGCTCCATGGTGAGACTTGTGAACACGACGTTATTCACCAGGCCTGTGGAATGAAACCGAGAGCAGGTCAGCCTCGTGGGGCCAGCTGGGGCTGTGGGCTCAAACAAGCACGGGCCCTGGTCCTTGCCTTGATCATCCCTCCCAGCAGCCGCCTGGTGTGGAGACGTACACCTCCAGGGACACACATAGCCGTCATTCTCTCCCCGCTTCTAGGAACTGCGATATCTTAGTTTCTACCCTCGGCTGCTTCGCTTCCTAACCCTTTCTTTTTGGTGACATTGGGGGTTGAACCAGGGGGTCCCCTATGCAAGTTCTCCACTACTGAGCTATAAAGTCTCACCAAGTGGCCCAGACTAGCCCTGAACTTGTGATTTCCAACATCATCCTCTCCTGTAGCTGACCTTACAGGCCTGACACCAAGCCTAACTTCTCTACTTTCTTAATTAGCGTTTTTGGTTGTTACCTGACTGAGTTCTTGATCAAAGGGCCTTTTCACATCTACCACATTTAACCATATCAGAAACTGGTACCATTTACCTTTGCCAGTTCAGACAACAGACTTTATTTTGGCGGGGGAGGTCTTTTTGAGACAGGGTCTTGCTATGCAGTTCAGGCTGGCCTTGAGCTCACTTCGTAGCCCAGGTTGGGCTCGAACTCTCAACGATCCTCCTGCCTCAGCCTCCCAAGTGCAGGGATTACAGGCATACACCACCATGCCCAGCTTAGACTTTGTTTTTTTTTTTTTTTT